TCATATAGAAATTACTAGGTTATAACTTTTAAATTTATTTTTTAACCTACTCAAGTGTGCATATCAAAGCTGATATACAGAGTTCTAACCTAACTTTCTAATTTCTTCATTTACCTTCTTTGGGGGTCAAGGGAAGATATATGATATCCACCCCTTTTAACAAATTTCTAAGTGTACAGTATTAAGTATAAGCACAATGTTGGACAGCAGATCTCTAATTTTTCATCTTGTATACTTGACTCTACCTACTGAACAGCAACTCCAGTTTCCTCTCCCCCCAGTCTCTGGCATCCACCCTTCGACTTTTATGGGCTGACAATTTCAGATACTTCATATAAAGGAATCAAACAGTATTTGTCTTCTGCAACTTTCTTATTTCACTTAGCATATTGCTCTCAAGATCATCCACGTGGCCACATGTGACAGAATTCATTCTTTTTTAAAGTTAAGTAGTATTACATTGCATGTAGTGCCATATTTTCTTTATTCATCCTTCAGTGGACACTTGAACTGCTTCTACATGCTGCCTACAGTGAATAATGTTGGTATAAACATAACAGTGCAAATATCTCCTCAAGATTTTGATTTCAGTTCTTTTTGATAAGCACCCAGAAGTGGGATTGCTGGATCATATGAATTTGGAAGTATTCCCTTTTCTTCAATTTTTTGGAAGAGATTGAAAATAACTGGCCTTAATTCTTTTTTAAAATTTTATTTTAAATATATATGGTACAATTCAGGGATAGGCATATAAATGTTCATTATGCACTTACCCTTGTTGATGAGGTGTGCCCCTCCTTCCCCTAGCAGTTTCCCATTACTACCAGTCCCACCTCTGCCTTCCCCTGGCAATTTTCCACAACTGTCAATCCCTTTCTTACAGTATTACGAGAGTTGTTCAAGGTCTGCTTATGAGTGAGAACATGGGATACTTGGCTGTTTCTGTGCTAGATCACTCAGTATTATAGCCTCTAAGTACAATCAACTTTACAAGCTCATAATGTTGTCCTTCTTTATGGCTGCATAATACTCCATCGTGTATATGTACCATATTTTTTTAATCCAGTCCTCTTTCCACAGGCAGCACGGTTGGTTCCATGTTTTTGCTATTGTGAATAATGCTGCAATAAACATGCATATGCAGGTATCTTTTTCATAGAGTGATTTGACTTGCTCTGGGTATATTCTCAGTAGGGGGATTGCAGGGTTCTAGGGTAGTCAATTTTTAATCTTTTAGGAATCACCACACTGTTTTCCACAAGGTTGTACTAGTTTACACTCCCACCAACATCCTCTCCAGCATCTCTTGTTTTTTAAGTTACTGATGATGGCCATCTTGACTGGAGTTAGGTGGAACCTCAGTGTGGTTTTAATTTGCATTTCTTTGATGACTAGTGAGGCTGAGCATTTTTTTTTTTTTTTGAGTTGGAGTCTCACTCGGTCGCCCAGACTGGAGTGCAGTGGCCGCTCCCGGTCACCGCAGCCTCGACCTGCTGGGCTCCGGCGTTCCTTCCAACGCCTCAGCCTTCCAAGTAGCTGGAACTACAGGCACGCGCTACCACGCCCGCCTAGTTTTTTTTATTTATTTTGGAGATGAGGTCTCGCCAAGTTGCCCAGGCGGGTCTCGAACCCACGGGCTCAGGCAATCCACTCACCTCAGCCTCCCAAAGGCGCAGAATTAAAGGCTGAGACACCTAGCCCGGAGAGGCTGAGCATTTTTTCATGTACCTGTTGGCTGCTTGTATGTCTTCTTCTGAGAAGTGTCTCTTCATATCTTTTGTCCACTTTGTGATGGGACTGCATGTTTTCTTCTTTTTGGCACATTTGAGTTCCTTGTAGATCCTTGATGTTAGGTCTTTGTCAGACATACAGCTGGCAAATATTTTTTCCCAGTCTGTGGGTTGTCTCTCCGCTCTCTCAATGGTTTCTTTGACTTTGCAGAAGCCTCTCAGTTTGATGAGGTCCCACTCGTCTATCTTATCTCTTATGGCATGGACACTTGGGGTTTTGATCAGAAATTAGTTGCCAGTTTCAACTTCCGTAAGGGTGTCTCCTGTATTTCTAAGGTTCTTATAGTCTGAAGTTTTATGTTTAGACTTTGATCCATTTAGGGCTGATTTTTGCATATAGTGATAGGTAGGGGTCTTGTTTTAATCATCTGCATGTGGTTGGCCGGTTTTCCCAGTACCATTTACTGAATACATTCTCCTCTCCCCAGGTGTTGATAGTTAAGGCTTTGTCAAAGATGACTTGGTTAAGAAATTGAGGTTTTGCTTCTAGAATCTCTATCCTGTTCCACTGGTCTATATGCCTGTTCTTGTACCAATACCAAGTTGTTCTGATTATTGTAGCTTTATAATAAAGTTTAAAGTGTGATACCTCTCACTTTGTTGTTATGTTTTCTCAGTATTGTTTTGGCTATTTGTGATTATTGATTATTCCACATAAATTCCTGTACTGCCATTTTCAGGTCTCACAAAAATGCTGCTGGTAATTTAATTGGTATTGTGTTAAATCTGCAGATTGCTTTGGGTAGGATGGACATCTTAACAATGATTCTATACCTCAAAAACTCAAAAGAATCTGTCAAAAGCCTCCTTGTACTGAAAAAGAACTTTGGCAAAGTCTTAGGGTATAAAATAAATGTGCAAAAGTCAGTCACATTCCTACACAGCAACAATTAACAAACATAAACCCCCCAAAAACGCACAATCCCATTCACAATAGCCACAAAAAAATGAAATACCTTGGCATCTTCCTAAACAGAGAAGTCAGACTTTTACAATGAAAACTACAACACACTGCTCAAAGAAATCAAACAAACAAATGGAAAAATATTCCATGTTCATGAATTGGAAGAATCAACTGGCCTTAATTCTTATTTAAATATGTGGTTGAATTCACTATGGAAGCCATCTGGTCCTGAGCTTTTCTCTTTTTGGGGGAAGTACTTGATTACTGACTCAATCTCCTTACTAGTTATTGGTCTGCTCAGACTTTCAATTTCTTCATGATTCAATATTGGTACATTTTATGTTTCTAAAAAATTATTAATTTCTTCTAGGTTATACAATTTAGTATTGTACAAATTGTTCATAGTATTCTCCTATGATCATTTGTATTTCTATAGCATCAGTTGTTATGTTACCTCTTTCATTTCTCATTTTGAGTCTTCTCTTTTTTTCCCTAGTCCAGCTAAAAGTCTTATAATTTTGTGTACCTTTACAAAAACCTTAGTTTCACTGATTTTTTTGTTCCTATTGTTCTACTATTCTCTATTTCATATATTTCTGCTCTAATCTTTGCTATTTTCTTCCTTCTGCTCACTTTGGGCTTGGTTTGTTCTTTCTCTAGTTCCTTGAGGAATAAAGTGAGGTTGCTTGAGATCTTTTTTCACATAGATAACTTATTGCTATAAAACTCTCTCTTAAAACTACTTCTGTTACATCCCATAAGTTTGATATGCTATGTTGTCATTTTTATTTGTCTCAAGATATTTTCTAATTTTCTTTCTGATATCCTTTTTTGACTCACTGGATGTTCAAATGTATTTTTTAAAAATATTTATATATTTGAGAATTTTCCAGTTTTCTACCTGCTACTAGAGTCATTCTCTTGTGGTCAGAGAAGATACTTGGTATGATTTTGACCTTAAATTTGTTGACTTGTTTGTGACCAAACATGTTATATATATACTGAAGACTGTTCTATGTACACTTGCAAATAATTTGACTTCCACTCCAGTTGGGTGTATATGACTTTTGGGCCACTTGGTCTATAGTGTTGTTTGAATTATCTGTTGCCAATAGAGACCAAGAGATCTCTCTGCATGTTCTATCCATTACTGAAAGGGTTGTACTGAAATCTCCTACTATAATTGTGTTGCTGTCTTATTTCTCCCTTCATTTCTGCAATGTTTGCTTCATAGCTTAGGTACTCTAATATCAGTTTTATATATAATTGTTATATTTTCTTGGTGAATGAACCCAGTCATCATTATACAATATCTAAAAACTGTTGTGACAGTTTTTGACTTAAAGTTTCTTTTCTCTGATAAGTATGGTACTTCTGCTCTCTTTTGGTTACCATTTACATAGAGTATCTCTTCACATTCCTTCATTTTCTACATGTATGTGTCCTTAAATATAAAGTGAGTGTTTGTAGCTAGCTTACACTTGGATCCTGTTATTTTTAAAAATTCACTCAGTTATTCTCTATATTTGTTGATCAGGGTATTTAACTAATTTATAATAATTTTAATTATTGATTGGAAAGAACTTATGACCACCATTTAGTGCATTGTATTCTGTCTGTCCTGTCACTCTTTCATCCCTCTTTCATTTCTTCTTGGTGTCTTCCTTTGTGTTGGTTGATTTTTTGTAATGACATGCTTTGATTCCCTTTTAATTTTCTTTTGTGTTATGTTTTTTTAGGCAATTTCTTTGTGGTTACCAGAGGTTTACTAAATATCTTACAGTTATAGCAATCTATTTTAACCTGACAACAACTTACCTTCAGTTGCATAAAATAACTTCATACGTTTATGCCTCCCTTCACTACACTTTGTTACTGATGTCATAATTTGCATTTTTATAGTGGGTATCCATTAACATATTTCTATATAGATGTTTTTTATACATTTATCTTTTGATGTCTTTAACAGAATTTAAAGTATTTATGAACCACTGTTATAGTATTGCAGTATTCTGTATTCGTTTATATATTTAATTTACTAGTGAATTTTCTGCTTTCAGATACTTTCACGATGCTGTTGGGTATCTTTTTCCTCATGGTTATTCTTACTTTTTGTAACACTATAATTTAAGGACCATTTTTTAAAAATAAATTAAGACAGTTAAACAATATGCATCAGTGTTGTTTGGCAATTATAAATCAGAATTGACCTTTTACTCTAAGCCTTAGGGTACAGAAGGAGCTATGTTCCTCAAACCAATATTGCAGTTCTACTTCATAAAGACTCCACCAGTTACAACACTTACCAGTTCCTTTGCTTAGATATGGAGGCTTAAAGAACTTTACAACACCATAGACATTGACAACTGTACCACCCTTAAGTTGATTCAGAGGTGTATATATATAATTTGTTGCTGGAACCTAAAGAAAGAAAAAATAATGAATATATTAAGTGCTCACATTTTAGAATCATGTTATGATTGTATTTGTAAATTAGCAGATCCAAATAACTGTATTTTAACGCTTTAAGTGTCTAAAGAGGCTATAACCTGAAAAAAGGCAAAGCGTAGCTGAGGTTATAAAACTTAATAATTTTCCTTAGAAATAACTTTGTTTATAAATGGTAAAATTTGTATACTAGCCCATAAAAGTATAATTAACATATAATCTAATTCAAACATTATACTTCCTCAATTAAAAAAGTAGAAACCAGTATACGAACTTGTCCCTGACTTTCAGTGGCTCAACTGAAGATTTTCTTACTTAAGAATGAGCTTATGAGGGTATTAAAAACATTTCAACTTCTGGTATTTCTGATTTATAATGGGTTTATTGGAACATAGCCCCTTTGTAAATCAAGCAGCACCTTTATTAACATATCATCAACTAATGTAAAAACTGAAGCAGTAACAGAAAATAAGAAATTTTTAAAAATATGTATGGAGGGGGACCCAAGAAATCTAAATTTATGTATTTAAAAATTGTGTATTTATTCTTATGCGTTTAAACTCCAGTCACCTTCAAAGTACTTTCCATTTGATGTAATTCACAGACGCTTTTCCCACTGCTCAAAACAGTTTCTGAATTAGTCAATTTTGATGTCTTTTAGTGCTTCTGCCGTTTTTTGTTTCACTTCTTCCAATTGGCAAAATGCTTCCCTTGGAGGAGTTTTTTCACCCAGGGAAACAAAATAACATCACTGGGGGTGAGATCAGATGCATAGGGAGGGTAGGGCATGGGAGTCATGCTGATTTTGGTCAAAAACTGCTGAACATCAGTACGATGTGGGCAGGTGTGCCTGAAATGAGCAAATGCATTGAAAGAATCTCCCTCCCAAAATTTATTGAGGTTAAACTCAGCATCTCATAGAATGCTAGTTGACATGCTGAGGCCAATGGGTTCCTAGAACACTTACCTAATGGAAGAAGTCTGTTAAAAGGGGCCTGCCCTCGAAAAAAAAATTTATGGTTTTTTTTGGGGGGGGGAGGGTCCTCTCTCATATATCTTCAATCGAAAGATTTAAGAAAATAGTTTTACTAAACGGAAATGAAAAAGTATAATCAGACATTTTTTGAAGCCCTGAAGGGCAATTAGAACATTGGTTCAATCAATATTGAACTCTGAGTCTTGTAAGTTTAGGAAACTTTTTATGTTTAAGATACTCCCAAGAATAATAAAACTTCTAAGGCATCCTTTAGTAATTAAATCATTCTAGCTATATTTAATACATCCTCAACTTATTTGAACAAGAAATCATAGCTGGAAACAACAAACCACACAATTAACAGAGCAAGTCCTAAGAAATTCAGTTTAAGAGATTTCTGTCCTAGTTTTTTTTTGTTTTTTTGTTTTTTGAGTTGGAGTCTCGCTCTGTCACCCAGACTGGAGTGCAGTGGCCG